TTTTTTAAGCTTATTTATTTTGAGAGAGAGAGAGTGGGGGGGGAGGAAAAGAGAGAGAGAGAGAGAGAGAGAGAGAGAGAGAACAGCAGGCTCTGTGTTGTCAGTGTGGAGCTCAATGCGGAGCTTGATCCCATGACCCTGGGATCCTGACTTACTCCGAAATCAAGAGTTGGACGCTCACCCAACTGAGCCACCCAGGCGCCCTGTGGGATGGGTTTTAAACTAAGAAACCACTCTACCTACTTCACAGCCTATTTCAAATGACAGGATGTTGGGTCCTCCATTTGCCTATTCATTTAGCACACATTTATTTTGTATCTATTTACACTTGCTAATATGCTAGGCACAGGGAAATAAGATATAGTTCCTACTCTCAAGGAACTCACCTTCTAACGGGGGAAATAACCGTGGAACAATTTAAGTAAGTGCAACAACAGAGATATGTCTTGGTAATAATTAGAGGAAGGGGCAACTGGGAGTTGTGCAGAGAAAAAGGTGTTAAGGAAAGATTTGTAAACATGGCAGCGGGGGAAGACATGTAAGAAACTGAGCCACAGTACCCCCATTTTTTCAGCAAGATGCAATGGGAGACGTCTGATGGGGTTTCCTGATGTTGAGTGTTGTTACCATGTTTTAGGAATGGCGTTTGGGAAACACCTGGGTGCATGTGAAGGTTTTTCCCTCAGCTTGGCTCTGTTTGGCTAGACAGTGAAATAAAGATTTCTTCAAGCTTTTCTGCAAGTGTCCAAGAGATTCTGCCTCTCTGGGATCACTTGGGGAAACAGGGGAGGGGTCAGCACTGATGAGACCCTGTGTCCCCTCTAAAGGCTCTAGGGGAAAGTTATTCCTTGCTTCTTCCAGCTTCTAGTGGCTCAAGGTGTTCCTTCTCAGGAATGCGTAACTCCAGTCTGCCTCTGTCTTCGCATGGACTTCTCATTTGTGTCTCTCTTGTGAGAATATTTGTCAATATCCTCCACGATGATCTTGAGATCCTTAACTTAGTTACATGCGCAAAGACCCTTTTTACAAATAAGATCACAGTCACAGGTTCTGGGGGATTAGTACATAGAAGTCTCGAGGGGGCCACCATTCAGCTCGTTACAAAAGCTAAGAAGGGAGAGAGTTTCAACTCCTCAGTGTCAAATGCTGCGGAGAGGTCACGTAAACATCCACTGAATTTAGCAACTGGAAGGCCATTGATTTTATCAAAAGCAATTTCATTGAGAGAGCCAAATTTGCAGGGGACTGAGAAATTTTTGAGAACTTTATTTTTTGATTTTAATTTTATTTTTTTAAGATTTTAAAATTTATTTTTATTATTTTTTATGTTTATTTATTTTTGAGAGAGAGAGAGAAGATGTGCACGTGCATGTGCCCACAGCATGTGGGGGAGGGGTAGAGAGAGCGGGAGTGGGCAGGGGATCCCAAATAAGCTCTGTTCTGCCAGAGCAGAGCCTGATAGGGGACTCCGACTCACGAACCGTGAGATCATGACCTGAGCTGAAATTGGACGCTAACAACCTTAGCCACCCAGGTGCCCCTCTTTTGAAAACTGTAAATGATAGGAGAGAGAGAGAGAGACAGACAGAGTGCAAGAGTGAAAGGAGGGTCTGGGTTGGACATTCTTCTTCTTTTACATTTTTTTTCAAAATGAAGGATCTTGGGACACCTGGCTGGCTCAGTCAGTGGGGCATGTGAACTCTTGAATTTGGGGTTGTGGGTTCAAGTCCCACATCGGCTGTAGAGATTACTTAAAAATAAAATCTTAAAAAAAAAAAGATGAAAGATTCTGAAGCATGTTTATAATATGGGAGCAATAAACCCATCAATATAAAGGTTAAATATAGAGAAACCATGGATCTTCAGCTTGAATATTCAAGATAGATTTTCTTCTAGACTTGGATAGTCACGGATGGAGTTGGGGTTGAGAATAGGTTGAAGTTTTGGGGAGGCTTGGGGATAGGGATGTAGGACTGAAGTATAATTGCTATAGTTCTTTACATTAGGCACCTGATGTATTCATATTGGTGATAAGGATAGATAAACTGTATCAAGTATTTACTGATACAGCACTTTGTATTTATTATCCCATTAATTTTCTGTAACAACTTTTGAAGATGGTTAATAATATTAGCGCCGTATTACAGATGAGGAAACTGAGGTACAGAAAGGTTATGTAACTTGCCCAAGCTCACACAGAAAGTGATAGAAGTGGGACAGAATGTGGGCCTCTAGAACTCATACTCATTATTGGGATTTTTTAACCCCCCTCAACTGTGTTGGTCTGACAGGTTAAAGGTTGATGGTAATTGCCTGGGGCACTTAGTTAACTGAATCATACACGCCGGTTCCACCTTCAAATTGTCATTTGGAGCGTTCTACAGTTGTCGTTCCTCTTGACGAGTATAGCGATGTTGAAATGTTGGAGGAAGGGAATATAGAGGAACTTTGGCAGATAACAGAACAAAGTGGGTAACAGTGTGGGCTTTTGAGTCAGATAGTCTTGGGATTGAATCCCAGCTCTGCGACTTACTAGATGTGAGATCTTGGGAAATTTTGTAACGTTTGGGCCTCAGTTTTCTGGATCTGTACAAATTGTTACAATACCACCTCCTTCTCAGAGGTTTCATTAGGATTTGATTGGATAATATGTGTAAAGTTCATAGTATAGTTCTGGCACCTATTAAATGCTTGATTGTTTCTAATAATAATGATCTGTTATATGCATAAAGTATAACTTGTCACAGCTGCTGTCGTCAAATAGATCTTTCAGGCCCTGAGGTATGATTGTACCTTGTACCTTAATGACCCTCGTGGAACTGTTTCTCCCACTCCTCGCCCCTCACCCCTCATACCACCCAACGCGGGCCTCTTTGAGTTCACGGACTGTCAGTTTGAGTGCTCATGTTAGCACCTGCTTTCCAGACCTGATCCTGGACCAGCAAGAACTGTTCAGTGACCTGAATGACAGCATGAGGGTTAAAGTACGGGAAGCCCTTCTCAAGAAGCATCATCATCAGAATGAAAAAAAGAGAAATAACCTCATTCCCATTGTTCGCTCCTTCGCTGAGGTTGGCAAGAAGCAGTCAGATCCACATTCGATGGATAAAAATGGTAAGATTATTAGGAGTGACTGTTCTTTTATTAATAAGACACTTAGGAACTGGTTGAAGATGCTAAGTTACCAGAGGGTACAGGCTATATTTGTCTAATATGTTTCCATGCTCACTTACACACAATATGGTTTGGTTACTGGCAAGATGGGGGGCTGGGACTGATGACCATCTATCTCTGTGGCCCTAGGGATGTTGCCTCAGATTGATCTTAGATTAGGGACACAAAATACAGTAGTATAGGTTCTTGAGTCAGACGTCGAGGCTTGAGATTCAGGCTCCACTATTTGCAAAGTGTGTGACCTCAGGCAGCCTCCTAAACCTCTTAAAGTCTCACTTTCTCCTCTGTGAAATAAGGATGATAATAGCATCTGCCCCATCAGTTTAATGTGAGGTTTCGATACGTGATTCTACGTAAATCCCTTAATCAGGTACGTGACGGGTTGTAGACATTCCATGAATCTCAGCTGCTGTTTGGTTTCCTTTTCTGTGGCCAGGCAGGGTCTAATCTCTATGTCTCCCTCTCCCCACATTTACTGAATCACAACGTGCAGGGGATATGCCTGGGAATCTACGTATTTGAAACGTTATCCAAAGGAGTCTCTGATATGCACTCCTGGTTAAGAATTCCTGCCTTAATAGAGGAAGAAAAGAGGACCACAAATATGTTCAGGAAGAAGGTGCGGAAGTAGTAAGACTTCTGCCCTCCCTTTACTAGTCCGTAAGGAGACATGTATGTGTGGGTCTTATCTGCACAGTCTTCTTAGCTCTTCTCTATGGGCCTTGCAGGACAGAGAGCCATAGCCAACGGGTGACGGATGGGGTGTGTCAAAGGGGGGAAAGGGCAGAGGCTCAGAGGATTCTGTCTTCTCTGAATAGGTCAAACTGTGTCTCCTCAGTCTGTTCCAACTACGAGTCTTGAAGTAAAAAATGGCGTGAATTGTGAACACAGTCCCGTGGATTTAAGCAAGGTGAGCAGAGACACGGGAGCTTGGCTTGTAGGCCTAAGAGTATTCCTAGTGGAACCGAGAGTCCAATCGCTGGAAGCCGGGTAAGCTTTGGTAGCTCAACACCTTTTGTCTAAGACCAGAACCCTTTCTGCAGAAAAGGAGGCCCCTCTGCCTGGGTCTTCTCCCTTGCACTCCAGCCTGCATGGGGCGGACTCAAGTTTATTCCACCAGGTTCGATGCTAGAACTGAGAGGAGCCCCCGATAAGCCTCCCTGACACAGACCTCCCGATTCTTCCAAAGTTGTTTTTGGTGCTTACTCTTCAGCAGCCCCTTCTCACCTCCCAGGGTTTTGCGGAAACAATATTTTTGCTCTTGTCTCCTAAAACTACTTTGCGGTCGAGGCTCTTCTTGGGGACTGTGACTTGGGCATCCTAAGATTTCTGCGGTAGCAGTGCCTCGCTGCAGCTTCTGGCTCAAGCCTCGATCTCCCTGCCTCCAGCCTCTCATTGGCCTGGTCTGTCCTTGACACTAGCCAGAACACAGATGGGGTCGCGTCACTTCTCTGCTGGGAAGGCTCCCTGTTTTATTTAGAAAAGCTGAAACCTCTGACAAAGCAGTCAAGTGTTTTAAAAGGGAAAAAATTTGACCGAGAGCTTCAAAAACAGTCGGTGAGAAAGCGTGGTGTAATGAAATTCAAATCAGAGGACCTGGATTTAAATTCTCTCTCTTAAAGTCTCCACTGGGCAAGTCAACTTCACCTCTCTGGGCTTCAGTCATTTCGTTTTTTTTGTAAATAAAAAATGAGGCTAATAAGACCTATTTTATCCACTTTACAGAGGTATTGCAAGGGTCAAATGAAAGAGTGTGAGCAAACGTTTGTTAAGTCATGAGACGACAGGTGAATGTAAGGTAAGGGAGGTGGTTGATGTGTGAAGTGACAGGTGAACAACTCCTAGGTTGTCAGAGGGTTCTTTTGGACTTTCAGGTGGATCTTCATTTCATGAAAAAAATTCCCACTGGGGCGGAGGCCTCAAATGTCCTGGTTGGTGAGGTGGATTCTCTGGACCGCCCCATCGTTGCCTTTGTGAGGCTCTCTCCAGCCGTTCTTCTCTCGGGTCTGACAGAAGTGCCCATCCCAACAAGGTAAAGACAAGGACAGCGAAACTCAGCGCATTCTGTCTAAAGCACAGATTTGTGTGAGCTCTGGTAGAAGAAACCAGCTAGTGCCAAAATTTGGGATTAACTGGGGAATGCTGTTTAAAATTCAGCAGCGATCTCACTGGGGGTATGTTGGATTAACCTCCACGCAGAAGAATTCTAAGACTTTTAAGGCTATGACTTTTAAGTAACTATAGCCTTGGGAGTGGAGAACTGAAGAGCATCCCAAGGGCGTATCACAGGCTAATCACTTGTTATGGTGGGAAGCCTGAGTCTTACCCTCTCAGTTCCACAGAGCCGTGTCTCAGGGAAATATGTCTGAGCAAAAGTACTGATGTCTCTTTCCACGGTTCTGGCAGGATTTGTATGGTTTGCAAATATGTCCACATTTGTTCAAAAGGCTATTCGTGCACTCTGAAGGTGGTGATTCAGGTGATTCGGAGCCCCATTAATTACAGAGTATTCAGATGTCCAGAACACAATTTCGACTCCTCTACAGGGCTTGATCATGTCAACTTCCTTATCCCTCTCCTCCCCCAATCATTTGCTTATTAGAGCAATGAATGAGATTCAGAAAACCTTGAATTTGCACAACAATGGCATGTTTTAAAAAAAGAATTAAAAAAAAAAAGAATTTTTTTTCCTATAGCAAGGAATTGTGTCTATGGAAACCCTAACAATTATAACCGCATTATTGAATGGAGTCATACAAATACGTCCAATGCTCAGAGTGGAGCTGTTAGGTCAAGGCCACTTATATTGCTCCATCATTAGTCTGTCTCCTTTCATTGAAGTTACCACAGTGATTTCTGGTTGATAGGAGAGAGAAAGGTTTCGCTGTTTGGAGAGGAATAAGATGCCACTTCTTTATGTCTGCTTACATAGTTTATAATTTCATCCTCTGTGTGTGTTGCCAGATTTTTGTTTATCCTATTGGGTCCGGTAGGGAAAGGTCAGCAGTACCATGAGATTGGCAGATCCATGGCCACCATCATGACAGATGAGGTATGCACCATTCTGCTTTTCATTCATGCCGTAAATATGTATTGAGTATTTACTCTGTGCTAGACCCTGAGTTATCTGTTGGGGATAAAATAATCACCCTTGCAGTGTCTTCTGGGAAGCAGGGCAGGTCACTTCTCTGAATGCTTTTTGTGGGAAGCCCAAACCTTCTGGGGTTATTTCTTCCTATATCATCTCTCCCAAGGATGCAGAGAAATCTTTTTCTGGGAAAATTATCATTGGCTCTTAGGATGCCTAGAGAGAAAGGTGTTAAGGCTGACAACCTTCTAGAGAGGATGGCTAATTGCATACATAAAAGCTATTTACATAAAGAACCCTCACTCTTATTCCACGTGAGGGTCAGGGGTATGAGCTTGGGTACTGAGATGTGAATGTCCCAAGCAACCAGACATTGTGGCTGCCATGGTGCTGAATCCCCACTACATGCCCTAGCGAGGACTGTACTGCTCCTGTAAGCTGCAGGGTAGGGTTTTTAAGGCATATGTGTTAGCAGGCAGAGGGAGACGGGGGTTGTGTTTTGTCATCTGTCTTTGATTGGGAAGCTTATTTCATGGAGGACCTTCATTAGGAATTTCATCCACTTTTTCCAACCATTATGATAGGAAAATTTTCCCATGTATCTTGTCTTTTGTCCCATTCTTTGGGGGGATAACAATTATACAACTTTAGAGTCTCATCTTCTACTAGCATACAGATATCTAGTTCTTTTTTGACCCATCTCATCTTTAGTTTCATTTTTTTATGCTTTTATCCTTGCACTTTTTTAAATGCTGAAGTTTTCCACATTGTCGTGTCATTCCCCATGACAGATAAAAATCATGAGGTTGTATGTGTCCTTCACCACATTCATTGGTGATTGTTGTTGTTGTTTTTAAGTTTATTTATTTATTTTGAGAGCAAGAGCATGAGTTGGGGAGGGGGAGAGGAGAGGGAAAGAGGGAATCCCATGCAGGCTCTGTGCTGTTAGGGTGGAGGCTGATGCAAGGGCTCGAACTCATGAACTGTGAGATCATGACCTGAGCCAAAATCAAGAGTTGGACGCTCAACTGCACAACCGACTGAGCCACCCAGGTGCCCTTCACTGGGGATTGTTTTAAGTAAAGTTATTTTCAACTTTCCTAAGGGCTTTTTCTTCTCTGTAGATTTTTCATGATGTGGCGTATAAGGCAAAAGAGCGAGACGATCTCCTGGCGGGGATTGATGAGTTCCTAGACCAGGTTACAGTGCTCCCTCCAGGGGAGTGGGACCCCTCCATTAGAATCGAGCCACCCAAAAATGTCCCTTCCCAGGTAATGTATGCACATAAGCCAAGTGGCTTAAGTGTCACTTACTGAGTACCCACCATGGACAAAGCAAAGACCATGTGGGTATATACTAAATAACTCAAGCTATAGCCCTGTTTTGAGCACCTAGAATGAACAGAGCAGTTATAAAAAATGAGTATACAGTAACATAGATTGGCTCAGGTGTGATGCGATCAGTCAGGATTACTCTAGGATAATTTTAAAGCCAGCTTTTGGAGGTTTGATGTGGGATGGGATAGGAGAGGAAAGCACATTTCTTGGGAGTATATTGTGAATGAAGCCACGCGACGAAAAGAGCAAGTTGTATAGAGAGAACAGGTGGAATCCCGCATACTTTGGGACAGATCGAAGGTGGCCAAGGAGCCCTTGTACACGAGACACCAGGCCTGGCGCTTTACAGATGCTAACTCAGCCCTCCCGGCAACATCCCCACGCAGGTATTTTTATCCTTAATATTTCAAATAAATAAAACTATCTTCAATGAAACTATCTTCAGAGTTTTAAGGTGAAGTGAGATTATACAGAGGCAGATTTGAAACTGGAACTTAGGTCCCACCTGATGTCCAGGCCTCCATATTTCTGTCTCTGAGCAACGCAGGTTTAGGAGTTAGGCACTAGTAGAGAGGGCGAGAAATTATATGTTGTTATTGTTTTTCAGGAAAGTCAATAAACTGCCCCAAATCAGTAAATGCATTTGAAAACTACAAACACATGGGTATTTGGGGGCTGTTTTTGGATGATCTCATTATCACTCCCCGCTGTTAACAGGAAGGACAGGATAGATGGCTGACTTTACTAATTTTGTGTTCCTCTGTTGAAAGGAGAAGCGGAAAATGCCTGGAGTTCCAAATGGAAATGTTTGCCACATAGAACCGGAACCACATGGGGGCCACAGCGGGCCAGAACTTCAGCGCACCGGGCGGTAAGTTCTGAGACGTTTCACAGCTCATGCTGCTTACTGGGCTGAAGTTGTGTAAAGGAATGAGTCATAGTCTTCACTTTCAGCCTTCTTCTCTCTAGTATTTTGGCTGGGAATGACTTTTCAAATGGAACCACTGACTGTAATAAGTATTGTGAATTTATCAGATCTTGTATTCATTCATTCAAGTTTCTCAAACCACTGACCACAGTCTGTCTCACCTCCAGTCCTTTCCACACGTTGTTCCTTCTGATTTGAACACTCGTCCCCTCCCTCATCTCCTGGCTAACTGCTACTTACCTTTGTCTCAGCTTAGGGGTCACTTCCTTTGGGAAGCTTTCTAAGACTCTCTCTAGATGAGGTTAGGTATTCCTACTGTGTGGTGTCACAACTTTGAGCTTTGTCCCTCACCTGTCTGCCACCTTCCTCCTACCCCTTGATTTACAGCCCTTCCCATACTTTATTATTATTGCTTCATTTGTTATTATTATTGCTTCAATAGCATTATTGCTATTATTGCTTCCCGTACTTTATTATTATTGCTTCATTGTTCATTATTGCTTCATTATTGCTTCATTCCTTCCTGCTAGAATGTTTGCTCCGTAAGGGCAGGGTGCCCATTATAATCCTAGCACCCAGCACGGTGCCCTGCACAGAGTGGGCACTGAGTATCTGATGAACAAATGAATGAATACTTTTAGAGTGATCCCTGTTCTGTAGCATGAGTGGACTAAATATAGATAAATATTTAGTGGTTATTTATTTATTTATTTTTAATGTTTATTTTTGAGAGAGAGAGGCAGAGAGAGAGAGAGAGAGAGAAAGAGAGCATGAGTGGGGAAGGGTAGAGAGAGAGGGAAACACAGAATCCGAAGCAGGTTCCAGGCTCCGAGCTGTCAGCACAGAGCCTGATGTGGGGCTTGAACTCACGAGCCATGAGATCATTACCTGAGCCAAAGTCGGACGCTTAACCGACTGAGCCACCCAGGTGCCCCTTGAGTGATTATTTTAAGTAAAGAAACTCCCCTAGGGTAGGAAAATAAGTAGTATTTTAGGGGTGTGGGTGTGTCTCAGAATAGTCAATCTACTCTTCTAGGCCCAGACTCTAAAGACAGATGTCCAAGGAGGAGGTCCTCTATGGAAGTTTAGGGAAGCAGGTTCCCAGACTAACTTTGATTTGCCAGGTAAGAAGGTGGTGAAAGAGGATGGTATTTTGGGTTGGAGTGACATCTAGGGTTTCCCCAGATGGTGGGAGATGGTTGAGACCATAGTTCTGGTTCCATAAGTTGTACTTGTTTCTGAGGATCTGCTGGGTGGAGAGTCTCAGGACAGGACTCAGATCATGGAGTGAAGCTTTGTAACGTCCTCTACTTCCTAGCTTTCACCTTAGTTTTTTTCTTCTTTGCTTGAAGTTGCTTTCCTTATTTTTCTATCCTCAGTACCCAGTGGAAACTCCGGGTTTTCTAGAATTGTAGACAGTCATCTATTTTTCTACTCTTAGAAATTCAGGGAGAAGATAGGAAAGGGGGCTTAGAAGCAGGAGAGATGGCACTTAGCTAGCAGTGTCCAGAATGGGGGTGTGTTTCCTGGCTGGAGGAATGTATTTGAGGGTGGGGAAAGATAATTGGGTTCTGGGGAGTGATCATGGAGGAAAAGAACAGTTCTTTGATGGAAGGGATCACTGAAATGAGGGAGCAACCTCCAAGAGCAAATTTAACATTTTCTTTAAAGTTGGGAGAGGTCTGAATTGGGTGGGGAGGCCTGGTATTGAGAAGCAGTTCAAGGGAAGCATCTGTCCCTAGAATAGGTTCCAGGATTGAGACGGTCCTAGAGGAGGTGGTGTTTTTTAGGGAAAGGGTCTTGGGTGTTTGATGGTATTTCAGGGTGGTGATATATCTTTTGAATATAAATGGTGTTCATACCCCAGGACTTAGAGTTTGAAGGTAGTGGAAATGAGGGCAACAGGGTTCCCTCCAAATGATTTGAGGTTTCAGGTTTCTTTTGGTGTTAGAGGAGAATAAACTAAAGTCCCAGGCCTTTTGAGGGGGTCATTTATAATCCAGTCCACGTGGGAGTTTGGGAGACCATTAGATTAGATCTCTAGAATTGTCGATTCTCAGAAATGGTGCCTGACATCCCAAAAGAAGATCTCATGTGGCCAGGATCATCACATGCTTACTCACAGTGTCAAAGTACCTTTACTCACAAACTCATCTAGGGTTTGAGGAAGTTCTCCCTTCATGTCTTGTCAGGAAGTTAATGGAGTTGATAAAGCTGAAAGGAAGGGTTATCTAGGTTCAGGGCCCAGGGCTGCTTGGTATGGGAGATACCTCCTCTTCCTGAGTTCCCCAAATTTTCCTCAGAGCCCTTAGTAAAAGACCTCAAGACACATGGCCTTTCTCCTATTATAGCCTTGTAGGTCAGGTGACTTCATGCCTGCATCAGAGATTATGCTTCTGTGCCAACCCTTTTCTCTTTCCAAATCTCAAAGTTTGTAGGGAGTCAAAGCAAACCCTCCCCCATAGATGAACATCCTAGAACTTTCTGGACCCGCCTGGACTGCACAGACAAAAAATAATTCTTCATACCATTAGTTGTGTTTCTCCGAGGTGGAAAACCTGCCTTGTGTGTACCATGTTGCAAGGCCTGGGGCAAAACCTGGAGACTTAGGGGATGTTCTGTTTGTCGGACGGGGAGGTATATGAAGATGGGGGCGTGTAGACTCTTAAGGCAGGAAAGGAGGCAAGTTGAAATCAGTCCTGTATTAACCTGAGGCCGGGCTGGAGCACAGTGTGTTGGACCTCCGTGATGCTGATGCATTCCCATACATAACAAAGACAAAAGTCTGACTAGAGTGTTCCTAGGTCACAAGTTTCACCGCAGGGAAGAGAAGGGTTTTCCAAGAAAGGGCTTTTCCAAGGCATATTTATGTACCTCTTTGGGGCTGCCGCTTTTGGGAAGGGTTAATGAAAAAAAGAACCAGGAGCTGCTATCTCGATGATTCCCCGCCCCCCCAACACACACACTTCAAACAGGTTTCTTCTAAAGCACACCAGACAAATGGATGGCTGGCCTGTCCTTAAAACCCTCCAGAGAAGGTCTCCCTAAGTCAGTGCTCCAGAGCCTAGTGACCCTCTACACGGGTAAGTCCTTTCTTGCATCAAGCTGAAATTCGTATCCCCGTGTGCCTCCTACCCCCCAAAAAACTTGAACATCAAAGGTAGTGTTGAAAGGGAAAGGAAGTCTCAAATGTGGAGAGAAGCATCCATGCCTGATCTTGTGGTAGCTGTGCAATTATGGTCTGATTCTATGCATGAGTGAGGGATAAGGCTGACTCCATAAATAGTAGTCAGAAATCATTTTATTAATTTATAGTTACATTATCCATAAGAGCCTCAGATCTTTTCTTTCCCCTTTTAATCACTATTAGGCATGCAGATGCCCCCCCCTTTCTGTGGCTTCTTATAAATCCATTTCACATACATCTTTTGTCTTGACTCACAGACGTTCCTCCCTGGAAGGGTCTCCTGCATCCAGGGGCTGAGCAATCGTGGCAGCATCTCAGGTTGCCAAGTGGGGTGAGGCTCATTATTACAGAAGGAGATTCTTCTCCCAGAATAATACCCTTCAGAGGAAGGTCATGGGTGATCAAGAGGTGATATTCACGTGGTACTAGTTCTGTCTTGGTAAAGACCCAGAAACACTTGTGTCTTGCCCCAGACCAATCAAAACTGCCTGTGAGGTCCTGTTTGCACAGAGGAGAAAGCAAGGCCTAGTGACACTTTATTACAAACTGGAGCCTTGGTTCCAGACTCTGAGGTGGAACTCTCACACTCTAGGTTAGACCCTATAGATAGCCCCTTACCTAAGCTAGGTTTGCCAGATAAACTAAAAACAAAACGAGCTTTGCCTCTCTTCTCTAAGCCAAGAACCAGATTGTGATGTTACCGCTATAAACTGACGACGGTGAATCCCAGCTATACCCACCCAAACCAGAGGAAAAGAACAAATAGGTAGAATAGAACAGTGTCCGCCCCATGTCCACGAACACGCTCATTGCACCTGGCTAGGGAGAGAAAGCATTCAAATGGAAAGAGAGAGCTGCCTGGGCCTTTCCCCCTGGTGTACAGGCCCCAGGTCGCATGGTTCTCCTCCAGGCTCCCAGGCAGAGAGATGGAAAGAGCTGGCCAAGCCTTCTTTCATGCAAGAGTAGCTCATTTTTTGCTTTTGGCTTATTATAGAAAGTTTCAAACACGTAAGAAGAGAGAACAGTATAATGAACCCCCATGTGCCCGTCAACGGTGACTAACATTTTGCCAGTCGTGTTTTGTCTATTTCTCCCCACGTAATTGTTTTATTTTTCTGTTTTCTAGATTATTTTAAACCAAATCACTGCTATCGTGTCATTTTACCTGTAACTACTTCAGTATGTATCTCTGTTTGATAAGGGCATTTTAAAAAACAACGGTCATGCCATTATGAAATCTAACAAAATTAACAATAATTCTTTAAATTGTCTAATGCTCAGTTCACATTTAACTTTTTGTGATTGTCTTAGCCACATCTTTTTAGAGTTTTTTTTTTTTTTTT